CAGACACACTTCTTATTTACAGTATAACTCTACTGTCAATCCAGGCAGCGTAACAGCTCATGTTAAGTGCTTGCTTTCTATTTTGCATGTGACTGCATATTACATATTGCCTAAAAGCATCCTGTAAACTCAGACTGAGACTGAAGTTGCAGTCAACTCACTGCAACTTTCTTGGTTTAATGGGAAATGAATAATAACAACATAATAACTAACATGCACACATTATTGATGCTCTTCATTTGTATTTTGCAGCTGCAGTGCGTTGAGAAGAACAGGCAGCAACAGAAAAGACAGAACAGGTTGTCAAGCATCCATTAGCAGCTGTTGCTCGATGCCTCCGCCAGCTTTTTGGATAGACAGCGAGGAACAGCAGTCAGAGTGCAGATTAGCACCTGTGCATTATGTTGAAATGGTGCAGACTGTTCATTAGATCTGCGGGCACCTGGTGTATCTCTAATGCTCTTGTTCTCTGTCTTGTCCTTCTTTTGGCCAACTCTCTCTCTCTCTCTCTCTCTCTCTCTCTCTCTCTGATTCTTTTTTCTGTTTTTAATTCAGTGTCTGCATCTGCTCCATCACACATGCTTTTCAATGTGACCTCTCGCTGGCCTCCAGCTAGTCAGTCTGATGGGAGAGCGTCCTGCACTGAGCTTTTAGAGACACAGACACCCGAGGCCACTTCACTAATGGAAGTCTCAGGAAACCACAGGGGCTCTGAAGCTAATGGTAACACGTCTTCACGGGGAAAGAAAACAACAACACTTTTTTTTTTTCTCCCAACAGCTGTGACAAGCTACACCATGCACTTATTTAAAAACAGACAGCTTCTGCAGTTTCCAAAATTACAAAAAGGGGATGCTCCTCCCAGATGGGAAATGTTTCAGACAAACAATTTATCCATTGTTTTCAGTCGATTTTAGACTTTATATCAAACCAGCCAGGTTTCATCCAGCAATATTCAGCAGAAAATTCCATAATCTAAAAAAATGAAATAAACTAAGAGCCAGAAAACAACACATGTTTCCCATCTTCAAAAGTTAGGACATTTATATAATGTAATAACATTAAGGAGGACTTTACCTGAACACTTTTAATGAAGTAAAAAAAACTATCAACCAATCAATCACTATTTGTATAACGTCAATTCATTATTTCGAGACGGATAATATGCAGGCAGGATTTCTAAACTAAACAGCTATAATGTAAAATTACATTTTCTTTAGTAGAATACATTTTTTGCGCATTCAAAACAGAAAATCAGTCCAATCTAAGAAAGAAACCGACTCGAGACTTTGTTGTCTTGTATAGCAATTACAGCGATCAAACATTACATCCACCTTTAACACGCAAACAAACCTGTGCCTGACCCAACCCAAGCACAGCCGGCCACACACTCACACTGTGACATGGTGGATCGATGCTGACAGCCCTTCGACCTTCCTCCCACCCCATCTCCTGACACCTCCTCTGACTGACAGATCCCATCACTCTGTGGTTAATAAAATGTCTTTTATTCCAGCAGGTCACCTTGACATCAGGCCAAATACTTGACATGCTGCTTGCCTGTGTTCCTTAATGCCTGCAGTGTTCAAAGTATAACCAGAGTGTGATGTGCACATTTTGCAGATACACCTCAGTACAGTTTGTACCTTAAGTACAAGCAGATATTGCGTTTTGCTTACTTGTGTTGCTGGAGGCTGGACATGGCCTTTCTTTATACTTTAGCAGAGTGCATTGCCTTGAAAGTACAACATATAGAACATAAAGTATCTTCTCTACTCCACTTTTTGTACTTGGACGCTTGGAGTATTCTTCTCTTTTGCCTTTGTGAGATGTCCTATCTGTTTAGTTTTCTTAAGACGAAACACACATGAATGGAGGATAACACTGACTGATGTATCATTCTGCATAATGAAACAAAATGCATTTTAAGATTACATCACAACTGGGCAAAATGGGGACTCCCTGAAGCAAGTATTACTTCGATGTTTCAGACTTTTTGTGAGTATACTTATTCTTCTCCTGTTCCATTACTTTATTTTTCACAATAACATGTTATGTCATTGCAGTGTTCAGTGTCCTATAAACATGTTAAACGCATGTTCAGTTATTAAATCTTAACAGAGTTGCCACATAATCATTCTGTTCAAAGTGTGGGCAAGACAAATCCATTTGGCACCAATTTATTTGGAGGGAAATTGAAATTTGCATGAAGTTCTTCATCAATCCAGTACAACCACTTGCTGTTTATTTTCACAGTTTTTCAATCCCTGAATGTGAATTAATACCAATTGTGTGTCTGTGTGATGAGCAGCAGCAGCTCAACCAGCAACAATTCTATTGAAACAACAATAGAAAACAAGAGTGGGAAATTATGATTGAGCAATTTCTCTTGAGATCAAAACTGCTGTACCAGTTAACATTTTATGGAAATCTAAAAACGGCAAAAACCTTTTTTTTTTTTTGTTGCTCTTGTGTTTAAAATCACTGCCTGGCTGTTTTCGACCCACACAAATGTTCTACCAGTGGTTCTGAAAACAGGTGAACCAAACTACATGTTCTCTCTCCCTGATATTTCCTCCATGAATAACCATCTTAACTTCAAAGTATCAAAATAAGTAAAAATAAAAATAAAAATAAAAAACTGAAAACAGCAGTATCTGATACTAGCTGGCATCGCGCCCTCTCTCCACCTCCCTCTGACAAAAAGGCCAGAAAGATACTTACTCTGTATTAGAGCAGTGCACTGCCAACAAGGGCTCCCCTTACGCAGTGGGACTAATTGCAACGCAGGCACAACGGGCTGCCCCTCCACTGCTAGCACATCAATACACTGACTGTACCACAAACACTGAACACCAGAAGTTAAGATCTGCAAAATCAGAATACAGTTTTGAACGTTGTTGTACTCATGGAGGGCAAATAACTTGGTTTATTCCACCTGTCCCACAAGTGAAATGTTGCTGTGCCGTGTACAGTAAACAGATAGACACCTGAGGTCAAGCTGAAAGGAGAGGAGGTGAAGCTTGTGCTAAAGGAGGACAATAAGAAGAAGCTAAAAACAGAGGAGTGTGAGGGATGGAGAGGTCGAGGCGGATGAGAAGAGGACAGACAGAAAAATCAAGCTTTGCTTTGCTGCGTGTGGCTGCGTCAGTGTGGTTCATATGCCTGCAGGTAATCTGTCCCTGTCGCTGACCTTGAGAGCTTACCTCAGGACAATCATAACTTACGCCAACTCAACACAGCAAGAGAGAGAGAGAGAAAAAGAGAGAGAGAGTGGGCACAGCGCTGATCCAAGCACATCTCTGGAGGAAATCCCCCCCCCCCCCCCCCTCACCCAGGAGGGTTTATGCTGCCAAAAGCATTAACTTCCAACCCTTTTTTTTTTGTCCAACACAGCATGCAATCAAGCAGTAAAGCAAGCCCTGGCATTGTTTGTCTGATGAGTCTCTGCACTGCACTTCTCTTTATCCTTACATTCACCTCCTCTCTTGTTTTCCCACTCTGGCTGTGCTCCATTTCCCTGAACCTCGATGTCTTTTCCAATCCTCTGCTCCTCTTCCTTTTTTTGCTTTTCTTATTCGTTTCCACCGTGTGAGGATTTAGCTTTGTTTCCCTCGAATTAGTAATTAGAAGACAAAGGCTATTGATTCTCCTATGGCAGCCTTAAATGATATGTAATTAAAAATTGGAGTAAAGTGAATGTGGAAAGATGGAGAACTAGGACGGCGGACACAGCCGGGTAGCTGAAACTACTTTGGAAGTGTTGATGCTGCAAGGCTCTAATTTAGTATCCCATTCAAACGTCACATTTGATGATTGGCCATCCTGCATGCCACCAAATAGTCCTTATCTGTTTATAGCTATTAACTCACAAAGAGGTGGGACTTAAGTTTATATATCAAGAACAAACAAAAATGTGCCATTCAACAGCGGGACAAAATATCGGGGGAAAAAAGCACTCTAAATATATATTCCTGTGAATTTGACTGAGGTGAACAAACGTCTAGACATGTCTCTGGGTAAATCAGAAGTAGGACTAATGATTAGTCCTACAATTCTATTTTAAACTGGACTTCACTAGTGTAGTAATTATGAGTTGTTGGAAATTCATGCCCTCCTCCCTGTCATTCTCCTCAGTGGTAAAAACCATGATGACTTGATAAACGTGGCAAGAGTGGAAGCGCTTATCAAGAATTGATGACGCCTTTCAGCCGGAAACTCGACAAGCCGTGCTTATCAGGCATCTCAAAAAAAAATACGATTCCCTGGTGTTTAGTAAGCTCAGGCTCTCACAGTATGATGAACGAGGCCCTGAAATTACCTGATGAGTCATCTTAGATTAGTTTGAATGAGCGTGCACAGTGTTGAGGGAAAGACTTCCTCAAACCCATGAATGCGCTGCTGAGGAAAAACGTGAAGAAGCTGCCAGGAGGGAGGAGGGACGTGCCCGAAAAAAAAAGTTGAGCTTGGATCAGTGAGCAAACTCGACTTTGCTTTTAGTGTCTTCAAAGGGTGGGATGATGCGGATGGAGGCTTGGGAGTTCAATGCGCAGGAAGACACCTTCCTGTATGCATCTGCAGAATTGGCACAGAGCTCTTTTTTTTTTTTTAATAGTCGATGATATTTTTGCACAGTCACTGATATGATGGACAGAATACAATCACCATAAAAATAAAACAGATGACACAGAGTGCACCACAAAATCATTCCGATGGCTGCTATGGCTGATGATTATCAACCCAATCTTTTGTAGCGACGACCTGCTCAAGTGGAAACGCCTCAAAGTGTGCTGCAGAAGCTTTTTATATACATATTTTAGGAAAGGAAGAATATGTTCTGTCAAAGTCACTTAGTGCTAAATTAAATATAATCTCGGTTTGAAGTCAAAAAGTAGCACACTTCCTGAACACTGTAAGATTCGATTCATAAGGGAATCTTACAGACTTCATGACACAAGAACATACAGTATACTGTACAGCAGCAGTTTGTATTGGCTTACCAGAAGTTCACCAGGAAAGGATGTTCAAGGTTCTGCATAATCTGCAGCTCTTTCAGGACATTCCTCACTTCGTTCCGCTCCACGCATTTCAGCTTGTTCATGTACTTCATGGCGTACATCTTCTTAGTGTCCTTCTTCTGCACAATGCAGACCTGACGAGAGCACAAAGGGTACATTTGAAAGTGGCAGGCTTTTGAAAGTGACTCACGTTTAGATTTCTGAAAACTATAAAACAACATCATGAATACAAAATGCTCACATAGCACTAACAGGCACTATGATGAACTACTACTCCTCTTTGAGATACAAATATAATCATCAGTATTGAGATATTTATTTTCCTCCTTACATATGATCATTGGTATTAATTAACTTGCATGAAGCAAACATTCTGACACTCTTGTCCATCTTTGCTAACCGTCTCGCAGCAGCAGCGGTGTGTTTTCAGTCATGCACCCCAAGTTTCTCTTGAGCTTTAGCGCCCGAGACACACAAAGTGTTACAGTGCAACCACCAGAAGTGTCCGGCTAACGAGGCCGCAAGGAAACTTCAGGATTTCTCTTTAATCTCCGTGATCAGCAGTTTAATCCTCTAGTAACGTTCAACTTTTCACACCGGTATGTTTTGCATTTAGGAGATGGGAAACATCGTGTAAGCTTTCATCAAAACTGCCAGCAGGAAAATGTAGATATGTCTTTCCTAATTCATAGAAATGCTTCCCGAACGGCACTGATGATTCTCTCATCAGTTGAAATGAACTGCAAGTGTGATGTGACGTGGGGAAATGCATAAAAATGACACCTTCTGCAATCTCTGAGGCTTTCTGTCATACGAAAACTATACATGATTACCTCTATTACGATGTGAGTGAGAATCGACACTGTTTTCAAGATGCAATGATGTCACACCCTCTTTTTATTTGTAGTGCCTGTCTGTTCTACGAGCGTCAATAAGCCAGTGATTACTGCCATCTAAGAGAGTGATCTGTGGACCAGCTGGCTCCGTTAATCAGCCAAACCCTGATTACATCTCTCCTCACATTGAGCGGCTTGCTGTTCACTGTGATCATACTTCTTATCTGCTGTTGGACTGAGTGAAGATGTGTGTGTGTGTGTGTGTGTGTGTGTGTGTGTGTTGCTGTATGTGATGTAAATTACTCTGCACTGTATGGATTAACAGCACATGGAAACATGGTTGCTATCATCTCCAATGTGTAGCCGTAGGGTTGTATACTATTTGCTTCACGCTTGGTCTTACGATAACCTACAACATGTGATTTGATGTACAGTTTGTAGGATTTGATGGGATAGTTGGATTCCTGAACTCTGCTAATACGTCTGTAATGTGTGTCTATGTATCAAAGCAAGTAGTTTATTACAAGTATGTCATATCTGTACTCCTCATGCCCTTACAAACCTAATTATGTTCGTTGTTTTGAATAGAACTAGTATCATGAAGCTAAAACATAGAACAACACACTTACATCTTTATCCATTTCTGCAAATGACAACTCCTTCTTCACCCCTTCCAGTTTAAAACGAGAACACTTTGGGAAACATGGACTTACTTTTCCAAAGCTTCCTTTTCCTATTGCCCTCAGGATCTGGAAGTGGTCGAAAGTCACTGGAAGAAAGAGGAGTTGAAAATGTGTGAATAACAAACAACAACAAAGAGTAACAGTTTCAGAGGATCAGGATAGAGTCTCATATATGCTGTATAGTTGAAACCATTTGAAAGGACTCAACTTTACATACATTGACAATAACGTTGGCTTGTGAAGATAGAAAATAAATATGCACGAATACAAAAGTGTAAGTATGGAGCCCCAGAAGTCCTGAATGTTGAAAATGTTGTGCACAATTTATTATCCTGCGTGCACAATATAACTATCACGTGGTAACACGTTATCTTGTGTGCACAAGTAAGAGGATAGTATGTGCAAACAATTTTATTATCCTGTACTTTTTGGGACTTCAGGGCCTCCGTACATACGATGGATGTGGAAACCAAATAAAAATGTCTCTCTTTTGAATTGAAGTAGGTCTATAAATCATTTGTAATGGAAGTTGGTGAATGGATTGCATGAGTAGACGCACAGGAGGCTCACTTTGAGGCGGGCTTGAACAATGCATACACTTAAGCTGGAGCAGATGGAGGTCTCCGGGGCAACTACGGGTCACTGACATTATAACGCAAAAAAATTGAAATAAGCTTCAGCACAGAGCACTCTTTTATGATTGTTGTATGTTTTTTTTCTTCTGCTGAACAAAAGCTCTCTCTCTCTCTCTCTCTCTCTCTCTCTCTCTCTCTCTCTCTCTCTCTCTCTCTCTCTCTCCACTTTGTGTATGCATCATCCTCTTCTCTGCACACTTATCGAACATGGTCTCAAACACACAAACACACACACAACCAAAGCCCAACTGCCTGTCTCGCTCTCCTCCGTCTATCAACAACATTTATCGCCAATTGAGAACGGATGGGGCTGTTTGTTTCTAGCTGCCATGACAACCAGGACAGAAAGTTTTCCCTCTCTTGTCGTTTCGCTGAGGACGGAACATCTGCTGCCCACTCCCTGCACTTATCTCGCCATGAACACACACGCACACAGAGAGGAACACACTTACAATCAAAATGCGTTCACAATTTCGCCCCAAAACTTGCTGACTGAAAGCATCACCTTGCAACACACGCACACACACACACACACACACACACACACACACACACACACACACACACACACACACACACACACACACACACACACACACACACACACACACACTCACTTTGCCTGCAGTCACTGGATCTATTGGATGTGACAGTTAATGATATGCTCTGTTAGTCACGTATCACTGGTACTTCCTCCTTACACACTATCTATGCTGGAGTGTTTACACAACCCACTCTGAAAGGGACCGTATGAGGCCCAGATTATTACGCACACAACCACACACACACACACACACACACACACACACACACACACACACACACACACACACACACACACACACACACACACACACACACACACGTACGTGAAAAGTATTGCAGATGACAATGTATACCTTGAACGTACACCAAGATACACACTTCAGATTAATGTGTTCATTTCCCTGCAAAGCTACTGAGAGATTGTTTTTTCTTTCCATGAGTTAGATGTGGCCGTGGATGAGAGGGCAGAGAGAGGAGGGAGAGGTAAAGACACAAGGGGAGATAGAAAGAGAGAGAGAGAGGGATAGATATTTAAAAGGAGAGAATAAAAGTGGAATAAAGCAGTGCAGACAGAAAAAGAGAGAGACGTGGGGAGATGGATTCATATTTTACGAGCACATTTATGAATGGTTTCATGAGCCGTATTAGATGATGGACACATGAGTAACAGAGCGTGTAATGATTGAAATCTTCACGAGTGGAATTGACGCATTGACAGCCCTTTTCCACGGCTTAAACTAACTGAGGAACTCATCTGCTAGTCAATTTGTATCTGACTGACACATGCTAATCAGTTTGGATTAAAGTAATCATGCTTGTTCAGTGTTGACTCTGAAACTGTGTCTTTTTGCATGACTTCACTGTACTGTAAGTCCGTGGCTTTTCCTCTATTTTTACAGGACATCACCAGTTGTTTGCCTCCATCTCACACAAAGCCAACACAAATTAAATATGCTCTCTCTTTTGGCCCTCATGCTCCTTATAGTATCTGTGATTCTCTCCAGAGAAGTCCACAATAACCCTCACAGACAAGTTCAACTGTTGTGCAGATCCTTGAAAATACTTTCAACACAAATGTGTGCTGAAGTGCTCATGATGAATAGGCCAGGTCTTTGTAACATAACAAAGAGTAAGGTCTTTTACCTGCTTTTTGTAACATAACAAAGAGTAAGGTCTTTTACCTGCTTTTTGTAACATAACATAGAGTAAGGTCTTTTACCTGCTTTTTGTAAAGTGTCTCGCGATGACACTTATGAGTTGACGCTATACAAATAAAAATTGATTGATTGATTGAATTGAAATGTATGCAGTCAGTACACCTTAAGTGACCTGCAGAGTGGAAGAACACAAAAACGTCTGCAGTTTTTCAGCCAAATTAATATAACAACTCTCAGTCAGATGTGACCCCTCGCTGTAATTACTGATTTTAAATTATTCATTTGGCAGTTGTCCATTTTCCACGAACAAATCCCAAGAAAAGACCAAAAACCAACAACATTTCATTCTGTGCCTTAATGTTTCCCATAGTCTGTCTCAAAAACAATCAGCCCACAGCACAATTATTCCATCTGGAGATATTATTTTTTTAAAGCACACAAACCAAACAAACAGAAGAAAAAAAAGTCAGTTCATTCCCCAACAGCTTGGTGTAGTTTTAGTAACAGGTTTAAAAATGAAAACATTTGTTGGGGACTTATTTCCGAGGAAGAATCCTCAATGTCTTCAGAGAGCTTACATGTAAGTGGATTTCACTGAAACTCACTTCATTTTCATGATAATAAAAACATATTAACTAGACCAACACTTCGGTCTACTCCTGTTTTTGTCTGTTTCTTTAAGATCATGAAATACTGATTTCAATACCATCTCACTCCATGAAGCAATGAGTTGGCTTTGGTCAAATTATTGAAAAGAAAAATGTAACTGGAGGGCAAATAAACCATGCTTTTGGCTATTTTGATCGGGATGCAGCCATTGTCCTATTGTTCCCATGGGAACAAATACGTTTTTCAGAATTAGCTGTCTCATTGTCAACATGGTGTCTCTCTCTGTTTACCCCTCTCTCCTTTCCTTTTCATTCCCGTCGCTCACACAGAAGCCTGTAAATCACTTGAGGAACCACTAACATCGGAACATCAGAGCTCCCACTGTTGCTCCGACAACTGAAACAGAACCCATGGGTCGGTGTGTCCCTGCCATGTGAATAAAGTATGATCAGCAGTAAACAGGACCTGTCCATTACCTAGAGACCGCCGCATACGCAAGGTAGGGAAAGTCTGTGACACACAAGGAACACAAGCAGCACACACATTACTCCCAGAGGAGATAAAGGTGTCATGACAGAGTTCACCTTCATGCACTCATGTCTCAGTAAATCAAATAATATGGGCTGAATATGAATGACGCTGTATGCATCTGACTCTGCAATGACGTCAGCAGGGAAACAGTAAATGGTTAATTAACTCTGCACATACATTTCCTGAAGAACCACAACAAATGTATATTTTTACATTTATTCATAAGATATTGCTTTTTGGAAAACTACTTGTGCTTCTTTTTGATGGGAAGTATTAACGTACTTTGTTTTTTTAATCTGTCTGTGAATTTTCTTTTTTTTTAATGAAACATTACAAAACAGACTTCTAAGTTAGTAATAACAATGTCACAAGTTAAAATGGTGCTACATATAGAGTACAAAGCCAGATTTTTTTAAACAGAAAATTAGAATGGGCAGGAAAAAATGCTCTTAAATTATCTCAATCTCATACAAACGTATCCATCCATCTATCCATTATCTATAACGCTCTTCCCGTTTGGGGTCGCTGGGAGCTGGAGCCAATCCCAGCTGTCATTGGACGAGAGGCTGGGTACACCATGGACTGGTAACCAGTCAATCACATGGCACGCCACATGTATGACTTAGTGGGAAAAAAAAACCCTGCTGCATGGAAGGTTTAGTCTGCAAGCAAATACTATTTTATTTAGAAAACCTCGACTGATGGTGTTACTGTGTTACATCACTCCATCCATTCTTCCTTTTTTGACGCTTATCTAGGCAGCAACCTGAACAAGTTATCCAGAAATCTCCCTCCCCAGCCCCATTTTCCAGCTCCTTGTTGTGGGATATAAAGGAGTTCCCAATCCAGATGAGATGTTTTGTGTCTCCAGTGTGTTCTGGGTCTCTCCATTGGGTTGGAAAGGCCCAGAAAACCTCTGAAGGAAAGACCCAAGAGGCATCTCAATCATTCTTGGAAAGAGAGGCAGCTGCAGCTCTACTCTGACTTCCCTTTAAACGATTAAGCTCTTTTTCTCTTATATCAAAGGGAACCACTTTTATTAAAAAAAAAATCCATAATAACTTTATATTTAAAAGTGTCATGCAGTTTTTTTAAGCTGCAGAGGAATTTTGGGTGAGAAATACAATTAGCTTTCCTTTCTAAATGTTTATGTTTATTAATAATACACTGTGTATTTATATATATATATAGAGAGAGAGAGAGAGAGAGATCTGTCAACATTAACTAGTTAGTCGTGCTTAATTAAGTTCTGAAATTAAAATTTACCATAGAAAAGCCTCCACAGTGTCACCCGTGTCTCCCACTAGTCACAGAGATGCAAAAGAACAACACTGCTGCGTCTTTGAACGTCACATTTCACTTTTAAAAAAACTCCTAAACAGCTCAGCTGACGAGTCCAAAATAAAATCCACCTTATGAAGTCAAACATTTCACTTTTTTTAATCGATCTGTAAGAAGTTCCTGTGTCTGTGGTTACATGAAAGTTGTAACCTTAGATCTACCAGAAGGTCCTTACTTTGTTTCAAAATAAAAGTGTGATTAAATTCAAACAGCAAGTAAAGTACTCTCAAGTAAAGACAGGGAAAAAATTAAAAATAGAAGCCTTCGAAATTTAAAAGAAAAGTGAAATAATCAAATTTAAAAAATGTGATTAATTTCATTAATCAGGATTAACTATTGAAATGTAGCCATTAAACTTAAACCGATTGACAGCCTTAATATATATACAGACATGTATATTGAAATGTCATTGTTGAATTAACAAAAATAAATTCTAGTATTATAGCCTATATAACCTTGACGCAACCTTCCTGAAGTGTAAGTCTAAACTTAATTCTGGGGATTACTTTGTCTTCCTTGAGCTGCGTATTTCTTCTCTAACACAAAGCTGTATGCCCCTGCCCTCTTTTAAAACCTCCCACTCTGTTATTGTGAGCAGGGAGTCAGAGAGGTGTACCGTTGCATTAAATCAGAGTACAAAAAGCCTCTGTTGTGAGTAACTTTACTAGAACATCACGCTGTATGAATAAGCAGCGAGGGTTAACCATGAATAATGATTTCCTCACTGATAGCAGTCGCCTCCAGTGAAGAGGAGAAAGCCACAGATATGGATTTCATTATCGTGCCACGAGGTAATTTGACACAATCGGGGTGAAAAAATAATTTCAGTGTGTCACCGAATAATTATACACCATTTTCATCAGACAAGCAAATAAGCCAATTCTAATGATGATTAATGGAAATTTAACTCTCGTACATAATTCAATCACGTAGCACAAAAAAAAAACCTGTTTGCTCCACAGTGAAGTAAAAGCACCTGACTTCTGACTCAAGGGCTTCACATTGTATTACCTACTCATGCCACTAAGAAAAAAACAGAAATACTTTCAAAACAAGAGCTTCTCCAATTCAATTATAGCTCCTTTTTTTTTGATATTGACCCTAATGTCCGTAAGTCTGAAGATATTCAAGATGAAAGGCCTCGCAAGATTGAAGCAGCTTTCTGCTAGTTTTACTAAATAGTAGTGTTGTCAGTGAGCCGGATCATTTGGCTCCGCACGCCAAAGAGCCATCTCCTACAACTCCCAGCAGCAACCTCTTCAAATACCACTTTTAGATTTTATATATCAGCCATATTAAGTAATGTGTTCACCTATGATTGGTATGTATGCTCAAGTTTTACTTTCACTGTTTGATGTCATTATACTAAGCCATACACAATCCAGAAAACAATGGATTCACTGGAAGTTTGTTACAAAACAATCGACAGATTATAAAACACTGTTTAGCTACATACAGTATGTGTATGTGTGATTCCTTCTAACTTGTTAAAATTTGTATCATCTTCACTTCATGTGAATATCCAGACATACTGATGATTAAAAGCTATGTCATGTCAGGAAGGATATTACTTCTAAACAAAAGGAACAAGGAACACTTGATGATACGGTTGATAAATGATGGACATTGATAAAGCTCCATGGACACATTTTGTATACTTTGTATGACGTCACTTTTAATATATATATATCTCTGCTTTGCACAACATCATATTATGCCATCCACGTATTTATAAACATATTATTGGATCACCCTTTTATTATGCTTAAGATCAATTCACCAAGACATAAATAACTTACATCACATCAATAAGGCTGCAGAAAACTCTGACTACAACTTCAGGTTGTGTGTTGCATAACTTCAAGAATTGAGCCACAAAAGTAAAAAAAAAACTTAAAAAAAAAAAAAAGAAAACGCCAGAGAAGAAAATTGGATGTTTTTTTCTTACTCACCATCATCAGTGTCGTCAGTGACCGGAGCCTTGCTGGACTGGCCGAGCCCCATGACTGCTCCTTGCGCAGATTCTCCTCCTTTTTCTGCTCCTTTAGCTCAACTCAGCATCCAACGGCCCCTCACTCTGCCTATGAGACGCACTCATTGCCTGGTCAACACTAGCCCATCACACACACACACACACACACACACACACACACACACACACACACCTAGTCTCACGTACTGGACGGATCAGCCCTGTCTCTCTCTCTCTCACACACACACACTAACACACACACACATATGCAGCAGCTGGCTCCGTTTTGCTGACTTGAACAGGTCCTGTCTCCCTCTTAATGCTCCACCTGGACACAATCACACATCATTGCAGACGCTCACACACACACATACAGTAGAGGGCTTGGGGGAACACTAAAGGCACTGAAGCGCTGAAACACACACACACAGCACACTCTGGCAGCAGCACTGAAGTCTATGTTTCCTGTTCGTCTTCACTGCTGTTTAGATGAACACAGGCAGACAGATGACTCCTGCCTGGAGGAGGAGGAGGAGGAGGAGGAGGAGGAGGAGGGTGGGTGATGCGTTTGTGGCTGTGACCCTCTGTTGAATGAGACTCTAACCTGTGAGGGAGGCAGGAAAACATGACACCGTCAGCAGAGGGAGGAACAGTCGGAAAAATTGAGCTTGTGAGAGATTAGGTACCTAGAGAGCATCTATTTGTTCAGATTGATAATTATGCACAGAATTTTATATTGGTAGATTTAAAAAAAAGAAAAGAAAATGAGAATCAATAAAAACATGACTAGCAAACTTGAGTCTGTAAAAGTAGCAGAACAGAATTGATGTTAATAGTTAGGACCGTTATAACACTTAATAGGAGGAGGATACATCTTTCATCACAGATTGAACCCCGGGAGGTAATCTCATTGATGAGATATGTGGTGCATGAAAACCATAATATCACTAGAACAGCGATAATTACTCTATTCCAACACGATCATATCACGATAAATGATTTGCTGAGTGCAGGATTTATTCCCTGTAATTGTGTTTCAGTTTCACCTCTTATCACACTGCATCCTTAAGTTTCTTTTCATACAACATCTTGTGTCTTCTTCCTCTTCTATCCCACTGTCAACTGTTTATTAACCTCATCCATGTCACAGGCGCCACAGTATGGAGTCATTGAGTAGTGATGCGATGGGTCAAATTGACAGGGAGATCGGTTTCGAGGGCTGTACTTACAGTTTTTTAAAATTCAATATATATATATATCAATATTTGGCACCAGCGATTTGATAATTGTATCACACTAGTCAGGGTTGCAGTATCGATATTTGAGTTTCAACGTACATTAATCCTTTCTGCCTCCTTTCCGCCTTTGTCCCTTCCCTCTTTCCTTCATCTGTCCTCCATCAATAATTTAATTTTTATATCTTAATAAGAAGCTCAACCAAGTGCAGCACTGTCTGCAGCGCATATGTGATGAATGGTACGATTTGTTTTCCCATTATGAGCACTAAACTGGAGGCTTTTTGATTTATAGTTGGCTGCTGTTCTGACTGTTCACTGAATCCCTCAGGCTGTCCTCCTCAGGATGTGACATTTGATGAGTTTTGGTCTTCTTGAGTAGAAAAAACGGAACATATTCTATTGCAAGTATGACATATTAAGCCTTGATATGATGCTGAGTGATGTCAGCATCTTAAATATTAACCTATAAGAGATGAGAGTGTCAAAAAGTAAGTTTTTTACAAGTTTGTTCTGTGCATTGTATCCCCTATTCTACATTATTGCTTTCCTTTTCCTACATGGCAACTAACTCAATGGCAGCATTTCCCCTTACACAGTTCTAAAGCAGATCGAATGACTGAGCTGAGCTGCATTTTTTTTTTTAGGGGTTGAAACTTCCTGTCATCGCGCCAACATTTAATTCACCAGGGTAAACCTTTGTCATGAATGTCATTCCCCTGACTGCATGATAAGGTCATGAGCATATAAATATGAGTTTCCCCTCAGAGGGTGAATGATATATTCAAAAAGTAGTTCGGGAAGCCGCAGTGCTGAGCTCCCCGCAGAGGACATTGTGCTCGGAACCCTTATCTGATCGTTTGGGAGAGACACGCATTGAATAGAAAAGTGCCCCCTCTACACACACACACACACACACACACACACACACACACACACACACACACACACACACAGCCACGCACCACTCACCCCCTTGCCCCGTCCTCCCATATCCATGCGGGGCAGCAGCTGTGGACACCTACCTCTGTGAATAGGACCATCTCCAGCCCGGTCTGCTGCAGAGCCGTGAGGAGACAGGGGGAGCAGCAACAGTGCACCTCACAGCGTCACTTGTCCAGAAGCTCGGACGCACGCAGACGCACCGGGACACCTTCCTCCCGAGAAACGGAACCACTCGGCGAGACGTGACGGAGGGGGGTGGAGGTGGAGGAGGGGTGAACGAGCCGACGAGAGTGCGATGCTTCTGAATGAAAAGAGGACAGAGGAGAGAGCGGGGAACAGAGATGGGGTTTAACGGGGATAAACTGCTCTGCGACTGACCTCCTCATCGCAGGCTGGGAATGGACCGACTGGTGGCCACCCGCGTGCGTCTGGCGGACGGGGCACGTGTCACAGGCTGCTCTAAACTGATGTGCTGCAGGGGAGAGGGTTCCCTCACTTCAACATTCAAATCTCATTCATATTTATTTAATCATTAACAAAAACAGATACATATGTGTCAGCGTTTGGATTTTCAGAGCGAAACTAACTCTTTAATATTTACTGGTCAGGAAATGTTTTTTTTTTTTTTTAATCTAGCCTGGCCTATGACAAGGATTGTGACTTTCAGATAGCTCAATAGGTCAATTATCTGCAAACGTCACTACACGGCGAGTTCTCTCTTCTGGGTTTACAAGTAGACCTGTTTTGTAGAACCAACAACCAACCAGAATGACCAATGATCAATCACACATCTCCCCATAGATCTTTTGATTTCAAATAAAACAATGACATTGCTTCAAATATTCTTTTTTAAACGCTTTTTTCTAACCTGGGAGTCAGAGGTCATAGTCATCTTTAGAACAGCGCCCCCTACAGCCAATACTAGTGTGCTATGCGCTGCTTGAAGGCACTTGAATGAGCAGGATTGTGTATTCACTACGCAGCAACATCCCCCCCCCCTCCCCCCTCAAATCATACACACACAAACACACATACATTCAAGGGTGAATAAAGTAACACACTCTTTATAGACTATAGCTGCATGTTGTCTCATAAGAGCTTTTAGAGTTCTATTGAAATGATTTCATTATTATTTCATTATACTGAGACAATGATGTGATGGACACTAATGTCTCTCTAATGTGAGTCTACACTGACAGTAATGTACTGTATGTTGTTTCTTATTCTATATTGCTATCAATGTAACATTACAATTACAACAATGTACAGTAAAATGTACCTTATATTATATCTGTGTTTTTTCTAATTGAATAAGCATGTGAGCAAAATAAATGTTGTACTGAGGAAGTAGCCAGTCATTTAAAAAAAAAAAGGTTTGGATTATATTATTATGCATTTGAAAATGTATATTTTTTCATTTTTACTTCTATTGCACCAAATCCCAACAAAGGTTATCTCAGGACACACTGCATAGAGCAGGATAGACTGTACTCTTAAACATTTTATTTAGAGAGATCCAACATTAACCTCACAATGAGCAAGTACTTGGCAACAGTGGTAAAAAAACAATATACTTTTAACAGGCAGAAACGTCAAGCAGAACCAGACTCACTGATGGATAGCTGTCTGCCAGGACTGTCTGGGCTTTGAGAGGAGAGATTTCTATGATAAATAATGAAACACTTGAAAAAAAAAAAAAAAAACAGATTGATGCCTACATTTGATTTGAATTTCTTTAAAAATCAAAATAGGAAAGTTTATGGGATAAACTCACACTCCCTCCTTCTTCTTTTTACTATTTCATTGTTGGGTCCTGTTGAGACTTTGTTTGAAATAGAGGATCATGGTTGTTGTAGGAATCCCACAGGGATATGAGAGGATAACTGCCAGAATGTTCAATGAAACAAGATTTTCCCAAGAAATGCGTAAGGGAAAAAAAGAGCCTTCATTTCATGTGTGTTAGCTCTATGATTAATATGCATTAATGAGCAGGGCTTTAAAACCAGAAAACCTGTCTTCTGGGAAGATTTCTGTCGTCCAATCTCTTATGAAACATTAACTTCAGAGGCCATTAAGACCTCACTGTAAAACACACTGGACCATTCTAATGACTGCACGGTCCCCGGCGTCCCCTGATAACTGAGCAGGCCAAGGTCGAGGAGGACGTCCGAGTGTTGGGACTGCGGAAGCAGAGATATGCTTACAGTGCACAATGCACATTTTCTTCCTTTTTTATGCCTCTCCGTCATGCCAAGACACTCTCAGTGTGGGCCATCCATCTTTATATGGATGGTGGAGACAGACCTTCAACTCCCCACACGCACTGAGAGGTGACGAGCATCAGTCAAAAGCAGGCCAACGCTCTGTCTTGCGTTTGGCATCATCAGGAAGTGTGCTGCTTTGTTAGATGAGATGAATGATGACAGTGTCATATCACAGCTGGACAGAGACAGAGGAAAGCTACTTAATCTGCAGGAGGCCTCAGCCAGGGCCAAGGCTGTCCTAGATTGACTAGAGACGATATTTTTCTTTGCCTGTAAAGAGATCAGTCACAGAAAAGTTGTGTTTGAATTGATTTGGATTCTAATCAAGGACAAAAAAAAAACTATGTGCAAAACTTGAACATGACTCTAAAGGTATATCCCTATTAGGATGCGTATAAATACCCCCATCTAGTGGATATGAATAACATTACATGATATGAAAGCAGCCAGAATGAATATGAGTGCTCTGTAATGTTAAAAAATATTTTACAGTATAAGTCACTTTTCATAATCACTCTTCTTGACAAAGTATAAGCAGTAAAACCTTTAACTCCTTCCTAACTTAAAAAAGTCTCAATATGGCACGTCTGCCAAGGTATAGGCTTTGCGATTCTGTTCTATATTATTAGATTCCAACGGACACTATTTGGTAGATTTTCTTAATTTCATTCAAGGAATATATGTAGTTTCACTAACAGCGATTTTATTTCACATACTTTTTCTTGATTGTGTTCATGATACTCCGTTGTAATCAGCTTCTTAGTAACATTAAAAGAAGCAATAGACTAAATGTTATGTTAGACACGAGAAGCTGAAATATAGAACTCTGGTAGTCTGTGGGTAGTGATGCCATACATCAACTTTCTGTATGCTCATTGATTTGTTTTGCTTTCTTATCTTCTCCCTTCCACTGAAGTAAATAAACAGAATAACTCAACACTGAAAGCAGCACACCTGCAGCTTTATGATAAAGGTCCAAATATTCATAATAAAAAAAGAGAGGTCTGTTTTTTGGACTTATGACTGTCTGAATCTCAAGACGCCAGGCAGGGTTATTTATAAAGAACATTTCTCTTCGAGTTATCTAAGTGTGCTCTGTATCCATATGCGTGCAGCAATAAAAACATATGCGAAAAAGAATATAGAAAGTATAAAAATAACCTGGTTTCTGTCTTTGGTGATATGGGGATCCTGAGACAGTAGCTGATAGAGTAAAGCAATGTTTTTAATTGAATGCGCACGAGGTACATAAGCTGTCTGACGATATTCAGCTGATTCTAAGAGATAAGATGTTTAGCAGCATATATACTGTGTGGTGAATAGTATAGACACTTACATGATGACATCATAAAATACAGTATGAAGGCTCTTGTATTGAAGCCAATCAAGCTTTACATCCTATTAAAAAAGCTGCTACTTATAGATGATGATTCACTTTCTGAATACTTCTACTTTGGGTACTTTAAAGTAAGTATGTTTGTCTTTTGAGTTTAATTTGGTATAATTTTAATTGATGACTAAAAACATCTGTGCAAAAATATTTTTCAAAAGATATTCCTTTGCCCTGAAGCTGCCCTCAACTACTTTTTTGTCTTCTTAATACTGAAATATTTGGATAAAAAAAACAAAAAACATTAAATGTGTATACTCTCTTGATCCTCCCCTGAATCTCCTATAAAGTATAGCACTGTCTTATCTGACGTATTGTGTTGCCGCCTGTCATTCCTCAGCAGTGTCTGTGTCAGTCTGGAGTAAACAGGGGGGGGTGTTCAAATCTGTCTGCATGCATACGTGGCTGCATGTGTGACATTGGGTCGCACAAACAAACAATCAGAGGTTTCTGTCAGAGCCGAAGGTGACAGTGAGTCATGGCAGTCTTCAACCAGTTGTTGCTCTTTTCCTGCTTGGTGCCGCTGGCTCTGAGCTCCCCTTTCTTCCCTCCAACATGCTACTCTAAGGTGCTGAGCATGGCACGGGAGATCACCCAGTGGGCTGCACACCTGAAGAGGGACTATGAAACTGTGAGTCAGCAGCTGTGTTATCTCTCGTTATAGATTTAAGCTCTGTGTTTATTGAATTGAACAATTTCAAAGTTTAGATTCTCCAATGGTCTTATGTGCTACTGTCATGCTGTATATTCGCTTTTTAGGTCTTTATGTCGTGTTGTGTGTTTGGTGGGTCGTAAACTGTTTTGGGTGGCGGCAGTAGCTCAGTCTGTAGGGACTTGGGTTGGGAACCTGGGGGACGCCAGATCAAGTCCCGGTACAGACCTAAATATGAGCATTGGTCTGGTAGCTGAAGAGGTGCCAGGGGACATTCTAAGTACTGCCAAGGTGCCCTTGAGCACGGCATTGAATCATTGACAGCTCTGGCGCGCCTCCTGGGCAGCAGTGTGTAGCAGCCCCACTCTGACATCTCTCCACTAATGCATGTCCACAGGTCCTGTTTGTGCATGTGTCTATTTGTGTAAGAAGCATGTCTCTCATTAACAGAGTGTAAAACCAGAATTTCCCTCAGGGAAATTAGAAAAGAAAAACACTAAGACAGTTTATGTTTCATTCATTCATTTATTATCTTAATAAATAGAGGGATGCATAATTTAGTTTATCTGGAAAAAAAAAAACCTCAATTCTAAAGAGCTTAAGAGCCTTAACCTAAAATGTCTCAGATTTTAGGGACATTTGGTATAAAAGTTGGTTGCATTATGTTAAATTGTTTTTCCTTCCAGGGTTACTGCATGGCCCACATGCCGGATCTCTACCTTGATGTCCATGTAAGTATGACTTCAAATGATCTGTGATTGTGACATAAAAAATGTTTATTGTGAATACAAATGATTAGAATTGCCAAAGTGAACACTGCAAACCACTCAGTGAAAACACACACATGGAAAGATAATGTGATTCCTGATCCTTACACTTAGTCTGTCTTGAGTTCTCCATCTGTTTTCAAAAGTCTACACAAACATCTATGGTATTTTGACCGCAAACCTCGGCTGTAAATCAGGCTCGGACACTAATTACTAGTCCTGCCCTCAGAATGCGTGTGTGATCCACAAAATGAGGACCTACATCTCCCTGATAGAGGAACTGCGACAGCGGCGCTGCGCCTACACCAGAGACGTGAGGAAGCTGGGGTCTACTCTGAGACAGCTCTTGATCTTCATGTCGGAGAAATGTCATGGGGTAAGACAGGACTAATGGTTAAAGTTTAAGAAACTGAAGTGAAATGATACTTTTAGGATGTGTCTTATAGGCGAATAGGTAGAAATAAATGTGTAAGGACAAAAAGTGATCTGCAGTCAAAGATGATGAAGTAAACACGCTTTTGTTTGTTCTTGTGATTGTTGAGTAACAGGCCTCATGATTATTGCCCCATATCTGCACAAAACTAGCAATGTCCTAGTATAAATGTGCTAATGAATGTTTTATCTTAATGGTTTTCATCTTGGATTTTCAGATAAAATAAGAATTATTCATCCATCCATATTTTAAAGTCACAAAATATATGAACTCCACTGAGTTAGAGTCTTCACCGCAGCCTGACACGGAACAGAAAAAAGGAAAAAAATGACGCGATGCATTCACGCTGCCTGCTGGTTAATGGGTCACTCAGTGGGTCATTTCACAGGATTAAACAGGCTTTAGGAAGCAGATTATGAAAAATGTTGAGTTCTCAGTGGGCTTTTTGATCCTGCAGTGCACCTGAACCGTCACGTAAGTCACATCTGGGTCTGTGCCTGTTTGTTTTTTTTCATAACAGACTGGCATGACCTGTCGGTGCAGACCAGGCCACAGTGTCTGCTCAAGGGGACACAGTTAATTCCCTTTAATTGTGGTCAATTAAGTAAGCTACGATGATGATAAAATTAAAAGCCTGAGCTCTAATTTAGGTCAACCACTGACAGGAAAGAGAGTAAATGGAGTATTTGCACATGTCATGTTGTGACCTGTAATTGTTGTGGTATATTAATGTGAAGCCTGAATAGATAGCTTCTGAATTTATACTTGATCACTGAAAACCTAACATGTTTTTTTCTTTTCTTTTTTTTTTACAGGACTTGGTGTTCACCAGCTATGACTGTGCAGCATTGGAGCGCTAACATCTATAAGGCCAATGTTACAGCCTGCTCAGAGAGACCCTTACAGTCTCTCTATGTACATCCTTTGAACACCTGCAATAATTGGGGCAATAGTAGCCTAGCGGTTTATTGTGTGTGCCCCATGTACGGAGGCATCGTCCTGCAAGCGGAACATGGCAACAAAACATCTGCCATGATTGACAGGCAAAATTTATATTTCACTTAAATGTATCATTACTTTAATCATCTTTTTTTTAACACGTATTACCAAAACATATCCTCTGTTTTCTGACTTTGGGAACATTTCATGTAATAAATGTATTAAAATGCCTTTTTTCCTCATTTGACATTTTGATAATATAACAATGTAGTCTCGTTCTTTTTTTTTTCTTGTGCACCAGCAGACTAGGAGTATAAATTACCGGTGGGTCAAATATAGGTTACTCTAATCATTATAATCAAAGCTACACTCACACTGTCAAAGTCTCACTGCAATTCCTCTTTACTCTGCCAATAAAAGAAGTGCATTAAAGATATCTGCTCCATCCAAAGTGAACTACATTACATAAACACGTATAGTATGTCATAGCTTCTCAAAATACAATACAACACATCCAATATATTTCTTATCTGTTCTTACAGTATAGATATTTTAACCTGTTCAGAATCCGACACCTACCTTTATTTAATGTTGTGATTTAACGTTGGTGTGGTTCATTCACAATATAAAACACATTTACTGAGTGAACCATGTACTGTACGTCACAATGAGAATGTTAAACATTTAAAAGGGAAGCATTGGAGGAGCTGAGTGATCAGGCTGGAACATGAACTACAAGGTCAGTAATGTATGAAGGAGCAATGCTGCGTAAAGCTTTAAAAACACTTAAAAGAACTTTAAAATCAACTCTAAACGCTCTTTCATAGGATCTTTTATTAGGCCTTTTGGGTTTTGAGTTTTCATCATCATTGCCCACTATTTGCTTTTGTCTGTAAAAAAAAAAAAGGACTTAGATATATAAGTTTTGTAGTCACTGAAAATATACAGACACAGCTTCGTGGAAAACCTCTGTGGGCTTGTATGGACATGTTCGATTGTGCCTCTACTGTTGGCCTACATTCTTTAGGGATTTACAGGAGTATGATCAAATCAGTTCAATATATCTAGATTGTAGAGAACATTTAACAATATGTTTTTCAATAGGTTTGAAGAACTAATGTTCGCACACATCATGCCAAGAATGGAAAACAAATATCCTGATGAACATTGTAAAACAGAAGAGATGTCCAGCATATTACAACAGCTCAGTGCCAAAGCATGACATCACCTCACTGCTACCAAATCTTCCTGTCCAAACCTGGTTATCCAGCACTTCATTGTTTGGCCTATCCTTCATAGAATTGTAAGAGAAAATGACTCATGCAAATGAGATGGTGAATGAAGAGCAACGAGTTTCACTCTGAAATACTTTGTGCTTTCTGAAGGACAAATGTCACTAAAGTTCAGATTTTCCAGAATGAACATACTCTGTAAATGTCAGTGTTGTGTTAAGTCACATAGATCAAAAGTCATGAGGCCTGGATTTTATCTAAATTGTAAAAGTTGTTTTACTACTTCTCAAATCTGTTTTTTCAAAACTATTTTTTCCTGTTTTCTAGCAGCAGTTTATAACACAAGTGAACATCAGATGTGTTCTTTTCTCATACTTTACCTTTGGTTCTCAAACATTTTAAGTGTGAAAACTGAACACCAAGGAGTCAGAGTAAAAAAAAAAAAAGGCAACAACCAAGAGTTGTACTTGTTTATAAAATGCAACTGAAGGGGAATTAAAATAAAAAGGATTTCAAAAACAGTAGCATATCGGGAAGGATCATCGAAGACTTCATTTTCAAATCTCTTTCCAGTTTTTGTGAATGATATTGTGGAACCACACACACACACACACACACACACACACACACACACACACACACACACACACACACACACACACACGGTAATTAAGTCATTTCAAATGACATAAAACACCAACAGTCAAATAAATAAATAAATGAATAAATTAAAAACGCTGATATGGTGGGGATGTTTATGAACAATGACGTAATTGATTCGGTTTGAACGTATCCCCCTTCTACTTAGCAGGTACAAGTTTGCTGAGTTGAGCGTGCCACTAGAGGGCGCTACAACTCAAATGAAAACCTGATGAGCAAGTAAAGTGAGCCAGCAAGCACTTCAAATAAGAGAAAAGACACCTCAGAGAAAGCAGCAGGACGATAGGTTGCGATTAAAAAGCTTAATACAGGCTAAACAGGGTTTACACGTAACCCCCCCCCCCCCCCCCCACCACCAGTCTCAACTGTTTGCTCTTTAAGAAAACATAAATAAAAACAGACGTTAAAAACGACGAAAAAAACAAAACAAGAGGAGGCCTTTATGTTTAGGGAGCAACAGATAAAGGACGTCATTCCACAGAGCTGCGAGTAAAGTCCAGTATTTCAGTTCTCGTCCCAGCTGTTGGATGTTTTCTGCGGACCCGCCCATCACAGACCCGGACGTGAAGTCCTTGTACATCCATCATCGCTGCAGTGATGACGACCTGTTCTTTCAAAGAAACTACATTTCCATGACGGCACTGGGCTGGTTGTTGAGTAACGAGGTGGGGCTTTTGCGCTCACTTTGAAGCAACAAGTCAACCTGACTGACAGACAGACAGGCAGGCAGGCAGACGGACAAGAGACTTAACTCCATCGTGTTTCAGCGGCAGGTGGTCACAGCTACACCGCACACTGTGAATGGGAATATTACCACCCTGGCTTCAGAAGCAACGTTTGCGATGGACTGACTAGAATAACTACGTTGATATAGTTCAGACTCTTGCTGAAGAAGTATACAAGTGTTGTTGTTTTTTTTTTGAACGAGCCACGCGTCTCTGCGTGCGTAATGCTCTCCGTTTAGAGCCCTTTGATAATCTTTTTTTTTTTTTTGGTTTCAGCTGGATGTGCTTTAGTTGTGAATGATGGCATTCGCTAAATTCAGCAGAATACTCCGTTTGCCTACGATTGAATTAAAAAAGAAAGTTAAGCAGTACGAGCACGTCCACCGGGACATCAACCCAAACGACTTATGGGAATTAATCGGCGAGTTGGGCGACGGTGCGTTTGGAAAGGTCTACAAGGTGAGTGAGACTTCGGAGATATGAGGCACCTGCAACCTCGCAATACTAATCTAGGGAGAGATGTTTTAATGCTTGCCCACATGTTGCTGAATTAAGCTGTCAGAGAAGCTTCTTCTTTCTTAATTTGTTTACATGTTGCTCCATCGTCTCCTCCAAAACTTAAGACACTCAAGTGATCTCCCATAAAGATGTTTCAAGAACTACTCCAATATCGATAAAAAATTTTACCAATTGATAGATGTCAAACATGAAGTAGTATTAAACTGTGATGCACATATCTTGGTCTTTCTTAGCCTGAAGTTGTTAGATCATCTGTTAATGCTCCACCACCCCAGCATACTATTCCAACAATGCTGTTGGTTCAGTTTTAAGCTGTATAACGAACTCAGGTTGTCGTCACACTGTGGCTTTGGGTGTCATAGAGAAGTGGTACACATCAATTGACTGAAAGTAAGTTGAGGTACTTCATATGTGGCTTGTTGAAATGTATTTTCTGACAATTTTGACCATTTAAAAAAAGAAAAATTGTGCAATTTCAGTATGAAAGTTATTTACCTACTTTTTGTGCCAAGGGGGCAAACATTTACATAAACTATCAGATCTATGGATTTAAATGCGTTGACAATCCATCTCTTTAGTTGTAGAAGTCATTAGTATCAACAACCAAACACTTTTCTGTAAATAAACGTACATCATCCAAAGTAGAGTCAATTTCTCTTATTGGAAGAAATATGTCAAAACTTTTTTTTTTTATTCAAAACCTAAATATATTATGAAATGGCCAGATTTGTTGCCATGAAAGGGCCTGATCTTGCCCAATGTAAGCCCATTGAATAGTTCTGATCTACAGTCCGGAGTGTAAAGTCAAATCTCCCCCCCACTCCTCGCTGTGGATCCAGTGTGAAGCATCCAGTGTCTGTGAAAGCTCTCTCTTCATTAGTTAAGTCCTTTACTGTCAAACCCCTCCTCAGCAGCAGCAGCAGCAACACTTTTTGCTCTGAGGAGTTATTTAATTTGGATGTTGGCTGCTCAGTCTCCTCTGTGCAGCCTGGTACAGTCACTCTGTGTGTGAGCTGCCCGCTGCAGCACAGTGAGAGTCTTTGACACTTCAGGGGCTGCAGTGGAAGAAGTGATGCTTTACCAGAACAGAAAATGTAGCCTTTGACGATGACTCCACCTTGTATAGGTATTCAGTTTTCACTGGACTGTGTACATACAGTATAGGAAAAGAAACTGCAGCATATACCCTCAACAGCTCATCATGATCTCCCTCTCTCTTTACCTTTCCATTCAAAGTCAGCGTCTTGGAGTTAGACAAATGACTTGTTAGCACTAAAATGAAATAGACATTTTTAGCATGCACATTGATTTACATAAATGTACCTATAATGCATATTTTACACCAGAAGGAGCATGTGAGAAGTCCTGTGGACAGAATAGATAAACAAAAACATCGTAAGTGTATCATGAAATAATAAATTGCTTTCAGTTTGCCTTCTGGAGCATGAGGTGATTTCATTTGGCAGAAAAGTTCATGTGACATCCTGCTTCTAGCTTCAAAGTTGTTCAACTTAAAGCCTTGAAGCAACAGCTTGAGTTGCTGCTCATCTCTCTGTCGGACGTCATCCTATTTGGCAGGCATTCTTAAAGCGTATATCCCCACGATGTTTGCACTTTCTTACACAAATATACAGCCTCTGCTTTGGCTCCTGTTTCTGTTCCTAGAGTGCCTCAGAGGAGGACAGATCCACACCTGCGTGTGTCAGATGTAGCAGGGAGGAGGGGGGCGGGGGAGTGGGAGCAGATGACAGCCAAGAGAGGAAGTCGTGGGACTTCTTCAGGGGGACAGCTTCCTCTCACAGCTCCTTATCCCCTTAATGATCAGCACATCTGTGGGAGGGAGAGGCCTCGAGTGGTGAATCGCACAATGTTTTTCCGTGTGAGATAGTGTGTGATAGAGAAGGCAATAGAGTAAAACACGAGTGAAATCAGCTTCTTATCAGACTGTTGGGTGTGTGAGACAAAACATAAAGCAGAGAAGGGTACAGATAGTGTCCTCACTAAAAGGTCAAATCTCATCGTGTAGTACATGGCAGGGGGACTACTGCTCGGGAAACTTAATTTGTTTTCGAATTCGATCATAAATAAATGCTTA